GTAGTCATACTGAGTTTCTCTGACACCCTCATAGCATAGAAATCACTAAATATTGTTCTTTCCTAGGCACTAGAGTTACTTTGGCACTTGGTTTCAGGCCAGCCATCTTCTTCAGGATCATTCCTTTTGATGGATTCTACTCAGGCAAACTTATGAACCAACATACGTGTAGGTGAGTGATTTCTCTTAATTTACTATCTGTTCAGCACCTGTTGGTTATCTCAGTGCTAGGTTTATGGCAGAGACAACGTGTAGACCCTAGGCTCTAAGATGTATGTCAAGACTCCACTGTGTTGTTCCCTCCTTCAGCTTTTCTGGACATCAGATGAAAGAGCTGACAATCATTAATGTAGCAGCTCTGGTTGTCCATCCAGAAGGTGATTGTTCTGCCTCACGCACGGTACTTGTACATGTTATAGGCACTGCTTGAAGCCTCCTCACTATGAACAAATCACTCTTTGCCGGTATATTGCCAGGTTGCCCACCTGGTTTCCACCTCCCACACCAGATTGCAGGTTTTCTAAGAAGAATAGGTTCTATACCTACACACTCAGAATGCATACGAAATCACAGACAAAATGAGCATCTGAAATAGCGTTAAATACATTAGCCTTCATCACTGTTGAAAGCACCACCAGAGAGTGATTTTCAGCACCTACATTCTCAGAGCTCCCTTTTTGAGACCTGATGCAGTCTCATTAAATGTGGCTAATGATAAAACTGCTAGTGATTGCCTTGGCAACATCACTATTTGTTAAAAGAGGAAATGAATTCTGAGGTTTATTTTAAATTTGCTCTCTCCCAGTCCCCTTAAAATAATTTGGGAAATATTCTGTAAAGCCACAGATATTAATACCCTAGAAATAGTAGCAGGAAATATTTCATGCAAATTGATATGTGTTTTAAAAATCAGTTTTTATTTTTGTTTTTTAATATGAATCAAAGATTTGGATTCTATTAATGTTCTTTAATATTTTTCTTTAATGTTTTCCATTAAAGTATTATTTCTTCCTTAAGATTTATGCTATATTTAGTTTTCTTCTAACTTTCTGAATTTTTGCATACTGAAATTTCCCATAAAGTAATTTATATATGGTTAACAAAAATAAAGGTCACTCTTAAAAAAAAATCACTCTAAGGAAACCCTAACTGCAGGTTTGAAAACAATAAAATCCTAGTGTTTCAAAGCTGTAGTGTGTAAATCAGATTAAAATGCAAGCTTAAAACTCAAGAATTTCTAAATCCTTACATAGGGTCACAGCAAAAGTAGCTGTAGCCTCATAATTTGGTTATCTGTTATTTACATTCCACTTCAACTTCTGTGTCTTTACTTTTTTTTTTTTAAATCATATTCTTTTGGCAAATGAAACACAAAAGAAATAGACAAGTTTTCAAAACTGAACCTAAATACTGAAAGATAGCAGACTGCAGAACAGCCAAATGCCACAGAGAGGTTTAGTTTCCTTGTTGAGATTTGTTGGCCAGATCTGCCTTCAACACTTATCTCAGGGCTTGCTTAGAATTTGGGAAGTCAGGTAGGCTACTTTCCCAGGAAAAGAGAGGAACAGGACAGGGCCTGCACTCAGTTGGAATATAAACATATCTAGAATGTGTTTTAGAGCACAGTGCCAAAGTCCCAAATACTTCCTCACCCTGTAATTAGACTACTGCTATTGCAAGAGAATTCTCACTTTCAAAAGGATCCTTTAAACAAGTTTATATGTTCTTCTTATTTGCAAGTGGATTGTTCTACTGAATCATTGTGTTCTGTGAGTATTCAAAAATTAAATATGTTACCTTGGTTTAGTTTGTTTTTTTATCTACAGGGACTATTACAGAGCTAACCAGTAGACTACCTAGAATACATAATGATATCTATGTGACTTTTTGTTTTGTTTTGTCTTGTTTGGCAGTACCAGGTTTGAACTCAGGGCCTCATGCTTTCTAGCCAGGTGCTCTATCACTTGAGCCACTCTGCAAGCCCTCTATGTGACTTTTTAAAGGATAACAAGTTACAAAAAGAATTTGAAAGCCTAAATAATTATACTAACAAGTCGATGAGCACACATTATATACCATTTAATGTGCTAAGTTGTTTTATGCATGATTTATTCATTCAATGTTTCCATATATACTTATTATCTATCTATCTATCCAAGGTTCTGGAGAACACTAGTAGACAAAACAAAAATCCCTGTTTCCGTGGAGCTTATATTCCAGTAGGGAGAAAATTGCAATTAAATAAGTAAAATATGAAGTATCTGTGATGAAGATAAGTACTATGGAGAAAAAGTAAAAAGAAAAGAGAGATAGTGAGTTACTATAAGTGTGTATGTGGGGAAGGGAAGGGAGAGAGATGGAGAGATGGAGAGAGAGAGAGAGAGAGAGAGAGAGATTCATTTAAGTTGACATATGACCAGAGACCTGAAGAAAGGGAGGTGGTTCAGAAGTAGATCTCTGGGAGGTGTTAAACATGTCTTCTTTACTTTGCTTAATCCTTACAACAGCAGACACATAGATATTTATATTGCTCCCATCTTACAAATAAGAGCACTGAGGTTTTTTTTTTTTAATTTTTTTATTATTCACATGTGCATACAATGTTTGGGTCATTTCTCCTCCCTGCCCCACCCCCTCCCTTACCACCCACTCTGCCCCCTCCCTCTCCCCCCCCACCCCCTGGATACCCAAAAGAAACTATTTTGCCCTTATCTCTAATTTTGTTGAAAAGAGAGTATAAGCAATAATAGGAAGGAACACGGGTTTTTGCTGGTTGAGATAAGGATAGCTATACAGGGAGTTGACTCACATTGATTTCCTGTGCATGTGTGTTACCTTCTAGGTTAATTCTTGATCTAACCTTTTCTCTAGTTCCTGGTTCCCTTCTCCTATTGGCCTCAGTTGCTTTTAAGGTATCTGCTTTAGTTTCTCTGCGTTGAGAGCAACAAATGCTAGCTAATTTTTTAGGTGCCTTACCTATCCTCATATCTCCCTTGTGAAGAGCACTGAGGTTTAGAAATACAGAGAAACTTGCTTAAGGCATGCTATTTACAAAGGGTAAGCTACCATTTGAACTTAAAGCCTCTTCACTCACAAGCTCTGTTTTTAGTCACCTTCCTCCTTTCAAATCACCCAAATACCCACTAACAAGATTTCCATGTGTTCAGTTATTGGAACCTGCCTAACAGAGATACGTCTTACAACATCACACTCTTTTAAAAAAAAAAAATGCATTTAAGAGGATAGGAAAAAAATTTCTCTCCTTCCCCTGATGAGAGATGGAGATGGAGGCAGAGCCAACCCTGTAAGTCACAGTTCTCCAAGAACAAAAAACAGAGCTGGCTCTGTAGGGGCAGGGACAGAAATCACCTTTCAAAACAGCAGACCTGGGGCTGCCAGAAGAGCCCAAGAGAAAGGAAGCACCAGCAACAGGATTTTTTGTTTAAGCCTCTATATCACTTGACCTCCAGTTCATCCCTCTGTTTTCAATTCAATCTCAGCATCGCTGCTGGATGTTTACACCTGCTGTATAATTGAGCTTCACACAGGTATAATTTACCTAAAGATGGTACTACCAGGCTGGGAGCTATTGCTTCCAAGACCCATCCTCCACGGGCTTCCGGTTAAGTACTACATTCCACACGACCATGTGGCCTGTTGCAAAACGACGGCAGAACTCAATTGCCATGCTTTTAGTCCCTTCATTTTCTCTTCACTCCCTGGATGTTCATGTAAAGTGAGAAGCTGCACCTTAGATGTAAAGATAGAAGGAGAGGAAAATGTGGAAGGAGGTAGGGTGTGTTCATTCTCTGGCTCCTGCAGACCTGCATGAGTGGGGTTTTACAGCAATGGAGGGACTTGAGTGAAAGTGAGCATAAGCAATCAATGGGAAAATTATCTCACTTAATGCCAAGACTAGATGTTTTTCTTTCTGCCTCTCAAGTCCAACGAGGAAAATCAGGACGAGTTATTTAGGTTGTAAATTTTAAGGTCAAGGACCTTTTCTGGTGAGCTTAGCTCTCAAGTTCTCAGTATTCAACTCCGTGTGAAACGTAATTAATAGCATGGTAAATACAAGTTGTGAAAGATACGACTGAAAGTCTCATCCAGTGGTCCTTGTGCAAAGATCCCATCATAAAGAGGACTTAATCAACGCTGGTAGGGCTATTAAAAAGTATCGCCTATTAAAAGCCAGCTCTTCTCTAGCGCCTCTCATTGGAGTTTCTCTGTGTGGGTGTGTTCGTAGGAGAAGTGGGTGAGCAAGAGTGTGCTGGGTACAATTTGTATATTTGCAAGAGCAAACAGAAGCTCTCAATGAAGAAGAACATATGCTTCCGGGACTGCATCTGTGCAAAAAGTACATAGTCCTGAAGTTGTACTAAGGGGAAAAACGCTCTTTTAAAAAAAAAGTCTTTCATTCCACACGTCATCTTCTTGGCACATTTTCCTTGTATTGACCTTTCCGCTTGACCAAATAACCTTTTCTCACCCTCAGGTCCAGGAAAACCACGAAACACGAAGACAGAGCCTGACAAACCGGATCTGCTGCTCTCGGGGATCCCAGAAGCCAACCTCAGGCCCCGAACATAAGGAATCTCCAGGGCGCACCTGTCTGGAGGGCGACCCCTCCCTCCCTCCATCAATCGGAAATCACGTCCTTTCCAAGGGCTGAGAGGAGGCCAAGCAGCACAACCGGTGCAGCGGGCGGGATCCGCGGTGACCCCCACAATGTGCGCGACCCTGGGGCCGTCTGCGCACTGCTCCACCTCCCCGCGCGCCAGGTGTCCGCGCGCGCGCCCGCGCCGGCCCCGCCCCCGCCTCCGCTCCTGAGCGCGCGCACAGCCGGAGCCGCGCCGCCTCCCCCCCACCCGGGGCCCGGAGGCCACGCTCCCCACCGCCCTGATCTCTCACTGGCGCGAGGGGCGGGGCCGAGGAGGGGCCAGGAGGCGGGGCGGGGCTTGCGCCAGCGCCCCCTGCTCTACTGCGGCTTTGCGGGCAGGTCCCGCGGCAGGCCAGCGATTCAGTGGCCCCTACCAGCGCCATGGCAGCCCCCGGCTCCACCGCTGATTGCGGCTACATCCGGACCGTCCTGGGCCAGCAGATCCTGGGACAACTGGACAGCTCCAGCCTGGCCCTGCCCTCTGAGGCCAAGCTGAAGCTGACCGGCAGCAGCGGCCGCAGCGGCCAGGCGGCCAAGAGCCTGAGGATCCAAGAGCAGGTGCAACAAACCCTGGCCCGGAAAGGCAGGACTCTGGTGGTCAACGGTGAGTAGAGCCCGGCCGCCCCTCTGACCCTGGCCTTCCCCCCACTTCAACCCCCCTCATCCTCATCGCTGCTTTCTGGGGGTGCGGGACCAGGTGTTCTTCCTACCTGTTGCTTCTGGTTCCTTTGTAGGGCCGCTGCGCTTCCAGACTGGCCCGCATGTTTGGGGAACACTTTTTTTTTTCCTCCATAATCTCCTCCTGAGTCTCAGCATAGATGTATCTATGCATATCGAGTACGCACATACCTATGTTAATGAATTCGGTCGAGTTTTTCACCCTTTTCTTTGTTTACCTCCGCCCCTCCCCACCTCACCCCACTTTGGTAAAGGGACTTAATCTGGAGATCCAGGGAGTCATGAAATTCTATGCAGAATTTTGGTGTGCATGATCATTTTCCTGGGGGAAAGCGCCTGTAGCTTTTATTAAGAGTTTCCAGAGTTCATGACCTCCATAAATATTTTCAAAAAAGAAAGCTTGAAAACCACTGCCGCTCCTTACAACCGTGAATTGGGACCGTGCTGCTTCACCCAGGTACTTTAGGGACGTTCCACCCAGTGACCGCGGCGAGCGAGCAAATTGTGTAGGTGGCCTGGAGCCAGGGAACAGCCGCAACACCCCTTGCAGGAGGTGGAGGTGGGTGGAAGAGGAGGAGGTGGAGAAAGAGGACTTTGGTCGGGTGCTGGCAGTCCCGCTCGCCTAGTAGCGCCCGCTCCAGAGCCCAGGCTGCGTGTCCCCACCCACCACTGACACCAATGTACGTGTGGGTGCAAGACTGGTCTCCAAAAAATTAAACCCCCAGGTGAAAGGAGTTTGCATGCGCGCGCACACACACTCTGTTTTGGCGACCAGTAGGCAGGGGAGTTGGAAGGGGAAGATGACAAATGAGTTGTGAAAATTAGAGAACCCGAAGAACCCACTTCCTCCCCTGCTGAAGTCAGGAGATCAGAGCCACACTGGAACGCTGGTTTTAGTTCATTTTTATTTATTTATTTTTTTGGTTAATTATCATTTTAAAGTATTGCAGGCTTCTTACAGAGGGGAAAAAAAAGTAAAGAAATCGAGCAGTGAAGTTGGGCTGTTTGTTTCCACAATGATGAACGGTTTCTGTTGAAGTGAGTTGGGCAGTGGCAAATATAGAACTCATTAAGGGGAAAAAAATGCGAAAAGGCAGACCATAAACTTAAAACAGCAGTCTATAAAAGAATCCTAAAGGATCCCGCGTTAATGTTTATATACTTGAGAAGTAGAGAGAGATGTTTGATGATTGTAAGCTAATGTAACTGAGTGACTCCTATGTGCTCAGAATTGGGTCGTGTAGTTTGCATTCACTATATGTACATACACAGGTACATACATATATATATTCAATTGTGAGCTAGGTATTTTAATCCTCATTACACAGATAAGGAAACTAAGCAGTTTCCCACAGAGAGTAAATGGCAGGGCTGGTGTTTAAACTCCCAAACTTGAATTTTTTAGCCACTTATTAGTGATAGCATGAAGTGTTTTGATTATTAAAACAAAGCGGGGGCTGGCTCAAGTGTTAGAGTGCCTGCCTAGCAAGCATGAGACCCTGAGTTCAAACCCCAGTGCCACCAAAAAATGAAAAATAAAACAAAGTAGGATTTTTTAGACCTTAAGCTTCTCTGTGGCTTCTTCCTGTTTTCCTCTAAGTAAAACTGAGGATATTCTGAGAGAGTGAGAAGGTTTAGACAACAAAGAACTGCCTCACTACATGGAGGGAAAGATTTTAAATTTAAATTTAGGAGCCTGGCTAAGGATTCCAGGATAACTGGGGCCAATCTTTGACCCACAGTCAATTGCACCCTGCAGTTTGAGCACCCACAGATCCAGTGCTAAACTGGAACTAAAGCAGCTTCCTCTGCCTGAAGGACACACAAGATGCAAATTAGATACTCTTTCTCATTCTTTGAGAGTAGCCACCCAGGAAAAGCAAGGCTGAATCAGCCATTAAACAGATTTGGGGGCCAGAGGGGAGGGGGTGGCCCTAAGGACCATTGCTGGTCATGGACTACATGCCTGACCCCTGTTCTAGAATTTCATGTGTTTACATTTCATTATATCCTTAAGACAGTTAGATGAGATAGCTAAGGAGATCTTTTCATATGTGAAATATGTGTCTGTCAAAGTTTGTAGCAAGTTTAGTCCCAGCCAGTGATCTGGCCTCTCTACAACATGGTGCTCTAGCCACTTTGGTGAATTCAATAACCATCCATCAGTGTGTTCTTTATACAGGGCTCTGTGCAGGTGCTGAATTAGACACATACCTGTACCTATTCTAAACCAGAAGTTCAAAGCCTGTATTACCAAGTAAAAAGTACTAAGCAACCCAGAAAAAACAACAGCTAAGACATTATGGAGTCTGAAAGAAGAAGGGAATTTTGAAAAGCACTGTGAAGGAACTGGGATTTAATATCTCAATAATCCAGGAGGATTGGGCACAGAGAGGTGGCTGGGAGGAAGAACATAAATATTTCATAGTTGACAGACTCGATATGGTAGAACAAAGGACACTATCTTAGTACTTCTGCTCAAAGGCTTCAGGCACTATTTGAGTGGTTCGTCCAACTAAGGAACAAAGCGTTTGAAATATTTTGATTACAACAGCAGCTTCCCAGCAAACTGAAATACACTCAGCAGCCTACACAGAAGAGCAACTCAGCAAAGAGATAAGGCCGCAAACAACACCTTTCTGAGACTCAAAAAAGAAATTAGCCTCAAAGGAATTTAACATTACCATGCCATGGAAAAATGACAAGGAGTTGTTCGAATGTGTTGTTTAATTAAAGTTCTTTGAAAAGGTCTGGGGCTAATGATAGTTGTGAATATTGTTTTTATTACTTCTGGTATTACTGCCCTGTCTCTAAAGTTGAAACAGACAAGCTGTTGTTGAAACACTGCTGGTCTGGAAAGAATCCTGTATCAACACCAGAAGTTCTGGGAAGAAACGATCCTGATGTTTCTATTAGCTCCAGGGCCTTGGAGAATTCTGAATTGTTGGCATACCAGTAAGATTGAGGCAGCAGATATCTGTGGAAACAGATGAAATCAATGTAGTTGATTTGTAGACAAATACCTTGCAAGGGTCTTTAACCCTTTACTTCTTTCTATTGCCTTAAGAATTAGGTGTGTGGTTTCGTAACTCATTCCAGAGCTTTTGAAATTGTTTTAAACTGTGCTGAATGTTTTGAAGTGGACTTCTAACTCTTGGGTCAGGAAGGTTCAAAAGTGTGTAGCTGCATGCTAAAATGAATCTATATTGTAGCAAAGTTTTTTGTTTTTGGTGGGACTTGGGTTTGAACTAAGGGTTTTGCACTGACAAAGCAGACATTCTACCATTTGAGCCACACCTCCAGTTCATTTTTGATCTGGCTATTTTGGAGATGGGGTCTCTTGAGCGATTCGGATTGGCCTCCAACCTTAATCCTCCCAATCCCAGTTTCCCAAGTAGCTAAGATTACAAACGTGACACCCACAGCCAGCTATAGTTTTTAAATGCTTTTATAAAAGTAACAATAAAGACATTTAAGAGTTGAAAGTCATAGCAAAGAGAAACATTTATAAACTGTTCATATCCTATTTATTACACTTTAAAAGTTCTCCCCAGAGTCCCAAACAGGATGAAAGTCATATTTTAAATTATGGTAATTAGTGCTTATAACATACAATGGACAATATCCTAGTGGAATTTACAACTTCTTTGGAAGTCCAGTGTAAAAACATATTGAGGCCTGCTATTTGCTTACGTGATTTCCTGGTGAAGCCACTTTGAATATCTGTGATCGGAGGGACTTCTGGAGAGAGGAATGAAAATTCATTCAGTTTAGCTAAAAAAGGTAGCTCATAGGTGCTACTGGACGAATTCTTTGCCAGAAAGGAATTCTAGGAATGAGGCAATTCTGGGAGCCATCGATAATTAATTCAGAAAGTAGGAAAGGGAAAAAAGGAGTGGGATGGTGGGGTGGCAGGGCTGTGGCCAAGCTGCTGTGAATCTAAGGCAGTTAGTAGCACAGCTGGATTTAATAACCTCCCTTGATCGCCTAATACAGCTCACGGGCCACTGGTTGTTCAGGTCAAGCAGATTGAGTACAAGTTTTTTAAAAATGTGCTTTTGTTTATTTTCGAAACTAAAATAACTTATACTTAATCAGAACGTTAACTAAATGTGTGGTTACAGAACTTACCACCCCTAGAAATGATAACACATCTCACATCTCCTATGGGGGAAATGTTGAGGGGAGTGTGGTCAGGAAGCTTCAGAATCAATGGAGGTATGAGAAACCACGAAGACCCACAGTAACAGAATTGGACTATAGAAATCACCCATGTTGTTCTTTGTGCCAGAGATAAGATGCAGCAAGTTACCTTAAATGGAAGACTGTTCACTCAGGCTTTTTAAAAGACCCAGCTGATGTCCTCTGTGCTCTGTGCTGGCAGAGTGCTGCTCACTTGAATTAAATATTGCCAGTATTTGTTGTATGCATTGTTTCATTCTCCTAAAGTGTCATTGTGCATGTCAGCTTTAAATTTTTTCTTGTGTATTAAAATAATACATACTTACATTATTTTATCTTTAGATAGTTTAACATTGATTTTACACTGAAATTGAATTTCTGGTCTGAGCAACAAGAACTTATTAGAAGTTTTGATTTATTTTTCTTTTCTGAGAGGAGAAAATACAATGACAGATATGTTGCTAAAACCTCTGGAGTTTATAAATCAGATTTGGTTAACATGCCCTATAATAAGTTCATTTGGTGACACCTCAGCTGACTTTCAAGATTTTTAAATTAAGGGTTGGAGGCGTGGCTCAAGTGGTAGAGGGCCTTCCACTTGCTGAATTCAAACCCCAGGACCGTCAAAAGAACCAAAATGATACAATTCTGAAATAAATGTTGGATTCCAGCTATTTTGTCCATGTATCCAAATGTATTTAGGCATAAATACCATACTCCTCCTTGGGAAGTAAACAAATAGTA